GTTTTAGTTTAGGATTCTAGTTTATGGGAAATGTTTTTGCTTAGTTTATATATTGATAATTTAGTCATTTTCTTTCTACTTTCTTTTTTCAGAACAAATAGAGGATGGTCTTTTTTATCATATGATTTCATACTTTGGATTTACTTAAAACTAACACATGGTGAAAGTTTTGTTCTTGACGTCCGATTTACATGGGATGTTTTTCTCTTCTTTTTTTTTTATTTTCAAGTTTCTTCTATTTTTTTCAAGGTTGTGATATTATTGGTATTTGAAATGTCTTAATGATTCAATAGAGCACCATATTGGTATTCATCAATCTAGGTTGTTAAAATAAAAAGAAATACATGTTTCACATAATGCATAACTATAAAAAAATGTCATATCATAAAAAAATTAAGAACTTTATTCTGATTTGTAACAATCCTTACCACTAGTATAAAAGTTCCTATAAATTCCGCTAGTATTTCACGACCAACTCTACTTCTTAATTTACACGACACCATCTCTAAAGATAGAAAGTTTTAAAATATCGCCACCAAAGGAGTTAACCTGTCACTTAACTCTTATCAATACAAACATAAATCTCAGGTAATAATACACAATGAAGTTGATATATGTTGTTATCTGCAACTTATACCCCAGGGAACAGTCAGAAACAACCAATTGTTCTTTCCTGATTACTGCAACTAGTTTATAATTGTTTTAAGATGCATTAGTTTGTTATGCATAATTCATAATTAGAAGTCCAAACCATGTTAGGATTACGATTTTTATTGATTCACGTTCCATGAAATTATGGTATGAAATAGGAACTGATAATTGCTGTGTCTCCAAGTCCTTACTAATTACGAATCTAGAATAATTAGTTATTCTCCGAAGTGGTTGTTGCAGATGCAAATTCTGTATTCGGACTGACAATATGTAAGGACTGAGTGCTACAGTTAAAGATGCATTGTAGACAACTGCGTTTTTATTTGATGAATACTCTGGGTTTTTTTAACCTAGTAGGGTTAACTGCAAAGAAATAATTTGTCGTCTTATATCTCCGAAGTTTTTGGCATTTTGATTTTAATTCGAACTTTAATTAGGTCTTTCCACTTTTCTGTGGAAAGACCTATTGTATTTGTTCTGATTATTATTTTTTTCTTCCGCCAAATTATGTTCTCGCGTAAAATTTTTCTTTCGCAATATGTCGCTAAGATAATTCTTATATAGTATCATACAGTTTATGCGCTTTTTATTTTCACACATTTTAAACCAAACAATTTTCTTTGTAAGAGTTATCTCCCTATTCACTGTTTATCAAGTGTGTGCATCTACTTTGTAACAAAAAAAGATATCGACAAAATTCTTTTTCTAAATTGTTCGTTACATCCTCAGAAATTTTTGGCTAATTTGGATCGAAGCGATTCGATGAAATTTTAAAGGAGTTATCTACCTTTACCAAATAAATTTGTCGGTATGTTTTTTTAACTCATAAACCGTTAACCGTATAACCATGGAATCTTTTTATTTGAGGTCCCTAGGTCCTAACTCAGAAAATGAGGTCAAGGTCAAAGGTCAAGGTCGAGTACTCAATTTTGTCTTTTCCTTGTTTTTGCATTTTCTCAAACACTTTTAAAGATATATATGAAACAACAAGTGCAAAATGTTGCTTTATTGTAATGAAGATACGTTACAGTTGGTTTGAAACAATCGAATGGCATCTTATAGGAGTAAGTGCCCCTGAAATGTCTAATTATAAGGTTAATTGATTATTACTTCAACTTGGTTCATTATAAAGCCATATGACCTTTTACAAAAGGTTGGGTGACATATGACCTTGAAAAATAACAACCGGAAGACCTTCAGAAAACCGGAAGTATTCATTTTTGCACTTTCTTCATGGAAAAGTGCTCGGAATCCATATATTTTGTAATTTTAATACATTAACTTATCATTAAAGACTAGAAATGACTTTCGATCAACCGAAAGTGGCCAATTATCTCCTGATTTACAGGCAAAAGTATATAGAAACTATATTTTTGGAATCAGTGTGAAAGAAACTATCATATGAGACCGGAAGTGACATTTACTTCACCGGAAGTAGCTAATTATCTCCCTTATTTCACTCACAAGTATATAGAAACCACTTATTTATCGCGTCAGTATGAAGAAACTGATAAGATGCCAATTTGAACTTTGAGTAAACACGAACTAGCTTCTTTTCAATAAATTTGAAAATTGCTGTGGAAAGACCTTCAATTGTTCTCTGAACAATTGGTTTTTAATTCTTTCTGAATTACACATTTAGTAACTTTTTGTCATGTCAACACTAATTATACTCTTTCTTGTCTATCATCCGAATACGCCTTTGTTTAGAGGTCAGACATATTTTATCTGTGTTATATAATGCATTAAAGTTGTAAAATACGCAGTTTAACAGTTATTGACATGTTTCTACACCCTGAACAATAGTGTGATCACTTAAATAATACATGTTTTTTAATAATTATATTTCATGTTCTGCTAAATTATTTGTTTGTTAGTTAAACAGGTTCTTCAAACGAAAATTATCAAACGAAAAAGTTACTTGCCTATAGGCATGCACTATTCAAGGTTGTACCTATTTTTTTCAATTTTTTGTATTTTGATAGCATTTTAAACTCTTAATAAGAGGCGCATTACCATTACAACTCTAATTAAACCTTGAAAGTACACTTATAAGCCTTATATAGATATAAGAAGATGTGGTATGAGTGCCAATGAGACAACTCTCCATCCAAGTCAAAATTTATAAAAGTAAACCATTATAGGTCAAAGTATGGTCTTCAACACGGAGCCTTGGCTCACACCAAACAGCAAGCTATAAAGGGCCCCAAAAATTACTAGTGTAAAACCATTCAAACAGGAAAACCAACGGTCTAATCTATATAAAAAACGAGAAACGAGAAACACTTATGAACCACATCAACAAACGACAACTACTGAACATCAGATTCCTTATGTTCTAATATACATAGATGAAGCTCATCTATTTGTTTCAAACTATTGTATATGTTAGATGAAATCAGTTGGCCCGGATAAAGGAGGACGGAAGTCATGTCAATGAAAACACATATCTACTTTTGAATTGGCGCAAATGTATGCTTTTATAATTGGCGCACTTAATTCAGAAAATAAATTGACCCAAATGAGTTGTAGTGCCAATGATTCCTTTTTTGGCACAAAAAGAGAACGCCGATCATCCTATACTTTATACAATGCAACATTTGGAATGACTACTTTGGTATAAATGAAGCTCGGATATTGCATTCTAAAAGTTCGTTTCTGATACCAAGAACAGTTTCCCTGCATTTATAGCGAGGCCAAATCTCAAACATGTGAAATTCACCTTTAAATGACTGTCTTAGTAACCATTGCAACGACAAAAAGGAAAAATGATATCATTTTCATATTTGATATTTCAAGTAAACTTGACATGCGTAAAATCTCAAAGATAAGCAATGCCTACCTACTTTCAAAATCTTTCATCCTTAAACATATTTAAGAGAACGAATCTTAAATAGTCCATTCACGTCCAGAAACGGTATTTAAACATCTAATTAATCATCATCAGACTCTCAATAAAAATGGTTTTGTTAGGTCACTTAAAATCATTTCCATAAATCAAGGTTAAATTTCCTATGTAAATACTGTAAATTTTCTTCTGAATAGAAGTTTGGTTCAATATATAAACAAATTATTTCAAGTTGATGAATTGCTAATGGAAAAAAATTTGATTACATGCAACTGTTATTTTTTTTTTATTGTTCAAATATATCTTTTTTGAGTTATTCCAAACAGGCGTTCCCTCCAATGATGTATTGATGTTACATATTCGCTTATTTATATTGCATTTACTTTGTTGACTTTCGATAGGTCAATGCGTACTTTTTGACAACATGTAATTCTTTACATATAGGTAATTTGTATTATTATAAGCAATTTCGATGGTTTGTCTATTTTCAAGACTATTTCTAATAATATATCACTCAATGAAAATAAACATCTTTGGTTTTCCCACGCTTTAACTGTTTTCATTCTTGACACAGGTTTGTTCATAAATACGCATGGCAAAGCAGAAATAAACGTCCATTTTTTGTTGGTTAAATAATAACTTGTATGATTATTTGTCATGAAGATCACGGTGCAGGTGTACATTTACTTGTTATTCAAAATTTTGCATTTGAGTGTTCCTTACAAAAGTAAATCAACCACAGAATAAAAACAATATGCTTGACATTTATTTTTGAATAACTTCATTAAGAGCTAAATGACAATTTCAGTCATGTTGCAATATTTCATGCCCTACACGTAGCCAAATAATGTTTCACAATCAGAGAAAATAAGTGGATGTGTGTTATAAATAAAAGTCAACTTTGAATTTTTAAGTTTGCCATAAATATTCTCGGAATATAACATAATACAAATATTTTTTTTTCAAATCAGATAATTGGCTATGCATGTGACATTCACTGTGTTTTACGAAGAAATAAAGCGAGTAACTCAGTCTATTTTCAATAACAGAAAATAACTTAAGATGCAGAGCAAATATATTTTTTACTAGAATACGACTGGACCAAATATTTAAAAAAGATCAAAATTTCAAGCAAAATAGCGTCTTTAGTGGTTATATTTAACATATTGTTATGGTATTTTCTAATATATATGATATTTTTAGCTTTACAGCTTTCTACTTAACAACAAAGTCCATGCATCTTTTTTTTTATTTTTTCAAGCATTCACCATGTTATAACATATATTGTATATTGTGAAGTAATAGACAAAAAGGGAAAAGTTTTCGAGAAGAATACTCCGAGGAGTCATTAAAGCAGCTGTTATGAATGATTAAATTTAGAAATTAAAATTATATCAAAATTGTGTAGAAATGTACTCAACAGAATTGTTCATATTGTTAACAAAATAAACAGATATATATGCAGATAGATAAATAGTTTTTTACTTGAAACGATTCTTACCACTAGTATAAAAGATCCAATGAATTCCGCTATTATTTCACGACTAACTCTACTACTTAATTTCCAGAATACCATCTTAAAGACAGACAGTTTTTTTTTAATGTAATAACACTTCACCTTTCACCTAATGCTATATATTCGTACATAAAATTATATTTATCGTAAAAGTAATATATGTTGTCAACTGCAACTTATAAATATACCTGGGGGGAAAAACAACGAAATGACAATTGTTTTAATTGTTTGGTCACAAGTCTGAAAAAAGGATTTTTTCATTAATAGTATTAGTACTGAAAACTTCTGTTACACATCTTCAGTCCTTACTCGGTGAGGATCCTTCATTGTTTAAATGCAAGTATAATGTTATTATGAATTTTGCACAAATATATTGGTGCTACATTCATATCCTTTATCTGACTGCATACTTACACAAGTTTTCTCCCGGCTTAGCTATAGCGGAAGCAATAAATTTTCTTAAGGCTTAGCTATGGCGGAAGCAATCATTCTGTGTTCATTTTTCATACGTATTGTGCTTTAAAAGATGAACCTCATTCTTTCAACTATTTTAGCCACAGGTATTTATTCTTCATATTTTTTTTTGAAAAACGTCAGAAAGATTAGTTATTCAATAACATTAAAAAATTAGCTAAATAAGTGTTTTTTTTTTTTTATCAAAATCAAACAAGATTTGACTACTAAACAGACTTATGGTCACCTGGGCCGCGTCCGGACGAACACATTAAGTTGTTAAATCCGATGCCTCTTCTCGTGTTAAGAAAACCTTTCCAACAACACTTTTCAGGTGGCTTGTTGCAGGGCAAAAACATATCCAACGTACCCTCATTCCCAGTGGTAATCCAATTTGTTATCCTTCATCCTGGCCGATTAACTCGCAGAACCTTTTCATTTGATGTATTTTTAGCTCACCTGGCCGAAAGGCCAAGTGAGCTTTTCGCATCACTTGGCGTCCGTCGTCGTTAACCTGTACAAAATTCTTCTCCTCTGAAATTACTGGGCCAAATTTAACCAAACTTGGTCACAATCATCATTAGAGAACGTAGGGGTAAAATGATAGTTTTGTCTATTATCTTGAAAACTGCTATAAATAGAGAAAATCTTACGGATCAAAAATGTTCAGAATGTTGCGATCTATCTGCTGTCCATTTACGTTTAAACTGTCAGACGCTTTCTTGCAGGAGTTATTGCCCTTAAAAGTCAAGTTTTACCATTTTGTTTATTTTTGCTTATTATTTTGAAACCTATAATAGATAGAGAGAAACATAAATGAGAAAAAATACAAGAAAGACAAGATCTAAAAATAAGTAAAATGGGCGAAATTGTCAGACAACTCCTTGTTGGAGTTATTGCCCTTTAATGAAGATTTTTAACATTATTTGCGTTTTTGATTAATATCTTACAAAAATCTTCTCCTCTGAAACCACTGTTTTAAATTTAACCAAACTTGGTTACAATCATCATTAGAGTATCTAGTTAAAAAAAATTGTCCGATGATCCCACCTTTTTTAATTTTTTCCGATTATCTTGAAAAGTATAATAGATACAAATGTAGATAGAATCTTTAAAAAGCAAAAAAGATCAGCAGTACAAGATCTACAAATATGTCAACATGACTGAAATTGTCAGTTAGCTCTTATCATATCCTAATTTCCTTGATACAGGGTTGCTGCTCACAAGGAAGCTATTAAACCAAGAGTTCTAAGTGGTGAAGTTGAAATCATCCCTTCGTAAGAGTTGGTTGACCGTTATGGAATATCCGTTTCACATAGCGTATATGTTCTTAATGTCGTAACCACAATCCCGTCCCCCTTATCCCGAATGTGACCTACCGAATCAGACTTATTACCGGGTTTGTACTAACTTGAGCAACACGACGGGTGCCACATGTGGAGCAGGATCTGCTTACCCTTCCGGAGCACCTGATATCACCCCCAATTTTTTGTGGGGTTCGTGTTGCTCAGACTTTAGTTTTCTATGTAGTGTTTTGTGTACTATTGTTTGTCTGTTTGTCTTTTTCTTTTTTAGCCATGGCGTTGTCAGTGTATTTTCAACTTACGAGTTTGAATGTCCCTCTGGTATCTTTCGACTCTCTTAATGAAGTTATTCCCCTATAATGACGATTTTTACTTAAAAGTGACCATTGTTGAAGATGCAGGTTAGCGACACAGGCTCTTTACAGGCTCTAGTTAATTTGTTTTCCTCATCTCAAATACATGAAATTTTGCTACTGGCTGAATACGTCCAAAAACTGTCTGAAATACTGTGAACTGTGTTAAATTCAATACAATTTAGAACCGGATCCTGATTTTTGAAAAGGTATTTTATTAACCCAAACATTCCAAGATTAGTATTGCATCCAGATGTTGAAAAGTAACAATACCTGTATTTAGTACGTGTACTACTAAACATTAAAACTCTTATCAATTTATATCATGTATTGGTTGAGAAATAAATTAGAGAGCAAACATTACTTGACTATGATTTATTTCTTTAAAACTCATTTTTATTTCTTCAGCCTACATAATAATCAAGAAATTACTTTGATGCCATTAAATAATGTCTTCAATGGAGAAATAACGTTTGCAATGCCAAGATGGGTGCCGAAAAATGAAATCTCATATTAGGTAAGATGTACATGTATGTTCAAATAATATTAACGGTACCAATTTTTCTGCACCAGATGGGCATCTCGACAATAAATGTCTCTTAAGTGATGATTGAGGCCAAAACATTTGAAAATCCATAACTTATTAAAAAAAAATGAAGATTTTAAACCACAAAGTATAGTCAAAGCAGGACAAGAATCAGAGCTTTTCATGATAGAAATATATTCCTTAATTCAAAATAATTTCCAAAATTTTGTAGCAGCAAATTTTAATAACATAATATCCGTATTTTCATGCCAGTACCGCCACTGGGGTGGTGATACCCTCGGGGACTAACAGTCCACCAGCAGAGGTATCGACTAAGTGGTAGCTATTACATTAACGGTACCAATTTTTCTGCACCAGATGTGCATTTTGACAATAATTATCTCCTCAGTGATACTAAAGGCCAAACTATTTGAAAATCAAAAGTTACTAAGAAAATGAAGTGCTTATAAACCAAAAATGACAAACAGTATAGCCAAAGAATCATCAAACATGAAAAAGAAAACTTTTATTTTATCATCTTTATTTTTATATGACAAATAAACATCGTATATCGTATGCTTTATATTCATATTAAACAATATTTATTAAAGTATATTGTAAATATCAGACATTAGAAACAATATTATTAAATTGATTGAAGAAAGTATCATCACTCAAAATATTTACAATAAAAAATGTTCACTTTTTTTTGCTATCAGTAAAATGTTTAGTACATTTTTCACTGTCATGCCAAAGTTTTCAGACTCATGAATAATATGTGAGTACGCTCTGTTGATTTCCACGTAATAGTAAAGTTGGAGGTAATCCTTCTGTTAATGTTTCCAACCAACTCATATATAAAGCTCCTGGACAGGAGGCCTTTTTAGGAATTGGTAACGTACTGAAAAAGAATATCTGATATGTTTAAATCCTTACATCAGTTAAATTTTTTCAATCCCATTGTTTTCAAAATGATTTTTATTTATGTCGTTATACGAAGAGATGCAAACTAATGAATATAAATCAGAGTATTACTTTTAAATTGACAATTTTGTTAAAATCTATTTTCGATTATTTGTTTATCTTTAAAGAATTTGGTTTCAAAAACTTCTTAAGTTTGGTTAAGGGAATCAAGCGTGTCCGATGAACCATGTTTTAATGAGCTAATCCTCCTACCTATATGACATTTTTAAAGTATTCATATAAATATTTGTTTCAACATTAAAACAATGCTAAAAATCTGTTCTTGTTTTGTGTCGTTTGGTTCTGTATTCATTTTGGGCATCACATGACTTTCGAGATCTTGTGATTTTGTATTTCAAAAAGGTACTATACAGCGTTAGTGTTTCACTTGCGTAAAGAGGTACAAGATACCGAGGGAGCAATCAAAAATCATAAGTTCAATATAAAAGGACAACACCATTGACAAAAAAAACAAAAAAAACACAAACAATAACAAAGCATGACACATAAAACTAAAGATAAAGAAACACGTACCCTAACAAATTAAATTCAAGTGCTCTGAAAAGGTAAGCAGTTGTACAATTGCAATGAGCTCAATTATTTCTTGCAATTGGCTACGAGAAAAATAACTTCAGCCAATGTCAATGTATTTTTACATCCCATATGTTCAATCATACAGCCGATGATGTCACCTCTTAATGGTGACATGACATAACAATTGTCTTAAACAAAGCACTCTACGAATACTAGTTTGAATTATTCTATTTGATCTCATGGATCAGAAAGGGTGTACCAGACAACATTTCATGGCGACAATTAGAGTAATCTATAGTTACAGCAGAAGTTCACTTCCCGGGAGAATTATGCAACTTCTTTACTTGTGAGGGAGATTACTGCCAACTGCACCAGAAGAGATTCTTTGAGAACTTTCTATATTTAGTTTTAAAAATATCAATGTTCAGGAAATTCTGGGTCGAGAAAAATCGTTTCCACCTTTTCTTGGCTCAGCATAACTAGTCCAGATCTATAGTAAAGCTTGCGATTTTTTTCCTAGTAGCGGGCATTAAGGCATTAGGTACCAGGAATTAACGTTAAACCACTTACTATACTTGAAATTGAACAATGAGGAAATCTTAGGGACTTTCAATGAATAAATGGTTAAAGAAAATAATATGCACACATGATTAAATCAAATATAATTTCATGACAAATATACTTACTTTAATAGGCTTTCGACGCAAGACAACGCATCATTATGTTTCTATCTAAATGTCTATATTAATTATTTTTCTATTTGATGTTATATATTAACCATTCCTAGGTAATGAACTGAATTTTTGGAAAGCAGTTATACAATTCAGTTACAAATTAATTTTTGTTTTTTATTCGTTAAGCCTTTCAAATTTTAGAAATTCGATATTCGGAATTGATTCCGTGGAGTTTTTTTGTCATTATGATATGTCGAGCTACATTCAATATAGTTAACATTGTACTACTTACATTACTATTAATGATGCTTCCTGTGAATGCGCCATTAACTGATCCCGTAGTCTTATATATCTGTAAGTCTAAAAAAAGAACATGAAAAATTTATATTTAAAAAGATCACTTTATATTTTGCTTTTGTAATAAAGTATATAAACTTTACACACGTTGTATTGCTGATTACTGAAGGTAACAACATTTAACAGCTACACATTTTCTGGCTATATGCTCATTGAGATAGTTGAAATTCATCTTACTTATTGTATTTCAACATGATGCCTGTGCTGACATCAACTTTTCAACGTATCGAAGGGTGGAAAATATGTCGACTTTAGAGTTTTGTGACACTTTTTAATGTTTGACTTTTCATCTTTTTCTTGCTCATAAGATTTTCGAATATCATCTTATCATTTGGTCATCCGTCAATCAAGTATTCACTGAAACTTCTTACTAACCATACGTTTTATAAATTGATAGGCTCATATCTCCCATTCCTTGACCCACTAATTTTTTCAAAGCAGTTAAAGGGGTTAACTTATATATATCGATTCTACAACTGAATCGTGTGTGATACGATATTCTTCGCTCGAAACAAACGCGATACCTGTCGACAGCTTAGAAATATCGTATTGCACGATATCTAGAGGTTGGAATCTGTTTGCCTTATAATTTTAAGAAAATAGTTAAGACAAACCTTATTTTTTAGCTCTGAATAGATAAAGTAAAAGTTAAAGTTCTCTGTTTTACCACGTGGAAGCGCAAACATCACCAATTTAGAAAAAAGCAAGATAGGACGTCCATTATACCATTAGTAATAGAGGTAAGAGCATATTGCAAATTAATTCTGTACATATTTGTTCTTACTTTTAGTTTATTAGAAATAAGGTCTCCGTCGTTTATCTTCCATGGATATTCCGATGAATATTCTCCAGTTTTTAATCTCCATTTCCTTATCAGATTCTCAAACTTTTTGTACCTGAAGAAATAAATTGACTTAATCATACAATACTGCATTTCATGATAATTAACCAAAGGAAAATAAATACTTTCAAAATTCGTAATTCTGCAATAACCGTTCTGTGTTCCAATACCTAAATATCTACCATGAAGAATTATCTAATGCAATGCAGTACTATTATTTCCATAAATATTGATAAAGATGCTGTGTGAATATCATTGTAAAATGTTTAATTTGACTCTATAGAACTAACTGAACTTACATGGCAAGTGTTGGTTTTTTCGATAAGTCCTTAACAATTGTTAATTTAACAAAGTCTATTCGAAACTTCTTCAGCAGCGATGTCATCCTAAAACATAATTACATAATTTCATATCAGTTGATTCATACCTACGACAATGATATGTACAATAAGTAAGGGAAATCTGTCAAACACAGTGTATTACTAGTAATTTTCATATATATAATGAATGCTATATACTTTAAAGCGGTAAATAGAATTAATATTCAGCGGCCATGTCAAATCGTTTACACAAAATCAAAAGCATGGTGCGCTTAGTAAAGCTGTTCCTCGACTTATAAATGTTAGTTTTTGTCGGGATATTCTTACAATTGTCCCATCTTGTAAGCGGGTTTTCTTGCTATTTACTAATATCCCTAATATTAGTGTTCTCATGAATAAACATATTAATAATTCATGATTTTACATGTAGAAATAGTATAATGTTTAAGTTTGGTCTTTTTCAGATATTTTTAAGCCACTTCCAAACCTCTGACAAGACAGGAGAAAATGTAATGTATTTATAAATTAAAGGAAATGTGGCTGAAATGTCATGGAGATAGTGAAACACAGTACAAAATTAAATTTCATTTATTATACCTAGCTTCATCTTCTTCATGCTGTCCCTTCTTGCTAGCAGCGCAGAACACCCTTAATTTACAGTTTTTCCACAGTCGCCGTTTTGACAGGATATACGGTATTAGCAATGTCAGCCCTGTGGAGTAAACAAGAGAAATACTTGTCAACTTCGTATCTCTGTTCTTGTATCATGTGTCATGAGAAATGTATCCCTTTTTAGTTATGTTTTATGCAGTTCACAATATATGTATTTTAGCGAAATTTATTTATTTTTCTACGTTTGTGTTCTATCTAATCCAATCTTGTAGCATAAAACCAAAATTATGATATAAAATAAGGAGATGGGAAATGATTATACCAATGACACAAATATCGAACAGAGTTTAAATGACATAGATTCAAACAACTATAGTTCTCCAGTACGGCCTTCACAAATTTGCAAAACCAATGCAGTAAAGTCAGCAATTAAATGCCCAGACATGACAAAATGAGAAACAATTCAAACGAGAAAACTAACGTCCTGATTTATAAAACAACAATTAACGAAAACCAGTATGACAACCATGAACCAATGACAACCACTGAATACAGGCTCCTGAAAATATGATGTCTACTTATAACTGTACTTGCTTTTATATAATCAAAATTATTCAAGGTAATCACATGATTTTAGTCAGAGAAAAAGGAGATAATGAATTACTAACATTATAGAATTCAGAAATGAAAGTTCTTTCAAAGACGGAAATTGCTATCTCATTGCTTTAAGATCAGCCCTTCCATAAGAGAAAAATGTGAGAAAGAAGAGTAATATTAAAAAGAACTAAAATCAAAGACAAACTTGATAATTTTAAAAGAATTTGGTAAACATTACTGTATGAAGGTTTTACTTTCAAATAATACTGCATTCCCTTAGTATTTTGCCACAAATAATTACACATTTTTGTCGCAGAATCAAATATTTTACCTCCATCATCATAAAGCCACCAAACGTCTATGGTTCCTTGAAGTTTATTTCGAAAGGTTTTTACAGAATCTTTAGATACAGAGGATGTCAAAACAGGTCTATTTGACTTTTCTGTACTGTTCGTATTTTCATTGTCAAATCCAAGATTCTCAAAACCTTCAGGGACAGACTTTAATCGATTGGAATTTATTGTTCTCTGCTTGGTTAAACTATTTCCATTGCTAACACTTTCATTTATAGTTGACACAACTGTTCTTTTTTTCTTGTCATGTTTGTTTTCTTCTTCTGAAAATGAAACAAGTAAATCACTAGCTATATAAATTCTGCCCTACAATTAACTCTTCAAATGACAACTCAAAATAAAACAAAACGACATTTCCATTATAAAGTTACAATCATCATTACACTTTATTAGACATGTTAGATATAAACAGAAATTAATATATCAATATCTAATTCATTTTAATCCTGTGTATTGAAATATTTTCACTTTCAATTTAAAAAAGATTAATATCCTACCATCATCAGACGATTCTTCTTCCTCCTCTGAATCAGAAAAGTCTAATGTGTAACTGTCGTCTGGGACTCTCATTATATCAAATCCATCCTTCACACGTAATATTCCTACACCATATTTTAAATCTAATCCGTCTCTAGTAAAACAAAACAGATATGAAGAAAACTAGATTTTTAGCATAATATGTCAATGAAATATCTGCTTATCAATACAATAATACATCTATGTAATACGCTAAGACGTGTGGAATAATTAACTTCTGGGCTTACATATTTGTTTTTCGTTCATTATTTTGTACATAAATCAGGCTGTAAGTTTTCTCGTTTGAATTGTTTTACATTTGTCATTTCGGGGCCTTTTATAGCTGACTATGCGGTATGGGTTTGGCCATTGTTGGAGGCCATACAGTGACCTATAGTTGTTTACTTCTATGTCATTTGGTCTCTGGTGAATAGTTGTCTCATTGGCAACTATTGTTGATAAATATTCAACCTTGTTGATAAATATACCGTATCAACTTCACAAATATTACATGATGGTCTTGAAGTATAGATTCTAGGTACTGACGTTTGTTTATCATATTAAGTATGTTTTAAAGTGTTTTTTAATTTGTCTTTGTAAATTATTAACCTTTACTGTTTAGACCATTTTTGGTAGTATCCTTTTTGTGTGGCTCGGTACTTATGCATCCCGCCAATGTGTTGTTGTGCTGTGGTAATTTTTTGCATTCTTGTCTTTCATTTTTGCTTATGTGCTATGTCTATATGCCATTTTGTTTTTCTTTGTTGACATATTTGTTTGTTTTTATAGTGATTAAGATTATAACACAATGTTGACTGCTGTATCCCTATTTTTGACATTTTTACCTATTATATCTGTTTGTTTTGTTCACACATTGTTGTCAATATTATGGAATTTAATGCGACTGTCATCCAAGTGAGAGGTTTAGCTAGCTATAAAACCCGGTGTAATCCACCATTTTCTACATAAGGAAATGCTTGTACTAAGTCAGGAATATGACAGTTGTTTTCCATTCGTTTGATGTGTTTGAGCTTTTGAGTTTGCCATTTTATAAGGGACTTTTCGATTTGAATTTTCCTTGGAGTTCGGTATTTTTTGTTATTTTACTTTATACCACATCTTCTTATTTTTATATTTACAGTAATAAACCTTTCGAGTACGGTTTTCGGAAATCAACCAATCAAAATACTGAACTGGTGTTTTGAGCACAAATTTTGTACTCTGAGTACTTAGTAAAGTTTTATGACCAAAAAGGCCTGCTGGTTTTTAAGAAATGATTTTTTTTCAGCACGTCTACCGAGGAACAAAGATGAAATCTAAACTGTGTTGCAGAAGATGGTCTAACTAGGGGCTCACCAAATGATCAATAAAAAAATCAAAACTAACAATTACAATTTCCATTGGGTCCCGTTTATATTTAACTGAAATTTCGATTGTTTGAATTTTTAAAAGACATAATAGTTTTCCGATGTTCAAATCTCATAAATCAATTTAGAAGAAAAATCAAGTCAACAAACAAAAACTGAGATAATCGCATGAACTCCAAAAGGATCATGAAAAAAGTAAAATAACAAAAATACTGAACTCCAAGGAAAATTCTAAACGAAAGTCCCTTATCAAATGGCAAAATCAAAAGTTCAAACACATCAAAAGAATGGAAAACAACTGAAATATTCCTGACTTGGTACAGACATTACCTTATGTACAAAATAGTGGATTAAACCTGATTTTATAGCTAGCTAAACCTCTGTTTTTCTCAAAGGGTAAATAAACTCATCATAGATACCAAGCGTCCTCTGCTATGTATGCATCACTCGCCATGCTAATCCACGCTCAGTTAAAATGTCACAATCGGGAAAAGGACACGATCGGTAAAATTACATATTAAACTACTATTCTGGTATAAATATTTAAGACTGTAAAAACTTTTCGCTGGTGAGTTGAGACACAGACATATCGTACAGATAAACCAATTTGTGACAGTCAACATAAATCTTATGTTCTGTCGATTTCAGTTGTTTTTCCTCATAAAAATGCTCATTAAAATAGTATTCGCTTATGGTTGTGGCTTGATGAAATGCGCGTCTGGCATACAAAACTTTAGTTTATGAAGAGTTTATTGTTATCTATATCTCTCATTAAAAGATATTGATCGTATCACACTACACGGAGTTTGTCGATTAATTGACTCAGTTATGTTCTAATTACGTCTCTTTGGTCTTATCTTTTATCACCACCGGTTTTTGGTGGAGTTCGTTTCACTCAGTCATTAGTTTTTTATGTTGTGTATTGTGTACTGTTGTTTGTCTTTTGATCCTTTTTCGTATTTTGCCATGGCACTGTCAGTTTGTTTTCGACTTATGAGTTTGGATTTCACTTTTGTGTCTTTTGCCTCTCTTTTACTTATCTTAAAATATTGTACGTTGGTTTAGCCTATTCTGAAATCAAAGAATGAGCATCTTAATTTGATATGAATCAAGATTAACATTTGATTTGAGAGTGTAAAAATGGTGCATGCCTTACTCAATAATATTGACGTATTCTTCCGTTTCCATTGGATCAGCGTTTTGCCATTCAGTTTTGTAACCAAGCATCAGGGTATTTGGTCTCAGTTTTCCTACACCTAAAGCCTATAATGGATATGTATGTATATTGTAAGTTTTCTATATCAACTGTATATATAGAGAAATAATTCCAGTTATTTTATGCTTTATCAAAATGATTTTTGTTTTCATTTTATCATATGACACTTTATTGAAAACTTTACATTTGTTATCTGGATACAGGTTTTAATTATCATTATGTCATATAATATAGAAGATAAATATTTTTTGTAGTTTATTGATCAGTTTTTATTAACAGAAGCGTATTAAAATCTTGACGAGATCATATCGTTTAAAAAATAAGGATTTCAGATTTGTATGACACAAGACGAAATACCTGCATTAACACCTGAGCACCAATACGTAAATTAGGTGCAACAACACTGTTATAGAAAGCATGTATTTTTCTTTTTTCAAACCACCTATATGCTGCTGTAGACCGAAGTTTCTGTACATGATCTGACATATCTCCCTGAAATTGAAATTTTAATATTCATCTTTCTAATCAAATACTTTTATCTTTGCTCGTGAAAACTTACATAAAATATAAATATCTATTCCGTAAATTACATGATTTTGGAAAAAAACAACTATGTTGTTTAAATTATTGCGATGTAATTGTTTATAGCTGAGAACATTTTTATATTTATGGTGACATTTATTCTTTGTTTACGAGGAATATTTTATCTCCAAATGCCATAATAACCAAATTTATATATTCACATAGTTACGGGGAAAGAATATAGTAAAAACAATTATGTTGTATAATAAAGCTTAACAAAAAAAATACAATAAAAATCATAGCGATTATCAACAAAAATCTAACTAAAGATTGAGAAACACAATCTATACTAAAAGCTGCTGCGAACGTTGCCGTTCCGTATTGTAACAGCTTCTTTTCCGCTAATGTGTTGACGATAACATCTAAAAATCAGGAAAAACTTCTGGACGAGGAAGAACAGGGCGTAGTTTCCACTATCAGTGATGAAAATTTAAGCACATATAAATTGTATATGGTATGAAAGAAAATCTGTATTTTTGTAAACCGGGTATATGTACAATCATCTGCTAGTATAATACTAAATGAGGAGACTTTCTTTTTTGTGTCGCTTCTCATTTTTTCAAATCATTTCAATCAATATCACTACCAACTCTAATGGTAGTATGCAAACTGTAGTTTGTTATCTTCCATAATGCTTATTAACTTTATGTTAATTGGGAAAAATTCGAAAACAAAATGATTTCCGGGTGTCCTTTCCATCATTACCTGGATTTCGGATTTTATGATGATTTCAATGCAAGTAAACAAGTAAACGTGATAAGGACGGGTTCAGACAGAAAACTACTGCAAGCTATAGAAAACTGTCAACAAGATTCACTGCATGACTTCATCAGTACTAACAATCTCGACTAAATATAGACGTACTATAATTCAATTCAGTCCAGACCTGCGATGTCACGGGTATGTTCTAGTATTTCATAATATTTTCATGATAAATATGTGACACCTATTTTTTATTTTATATAATAGTTACAATTGCATTACAGTAGTTTAGATGAACTACGGAAGAATGTGGATGCTGCGAGATGCATTTGAGTTTATCATTATGATGCTTCCGGTTTAAAATGAGAGTCATAAAATTTTCCTGAGCGGAAAAAAAGAGAACCATCTTCCATCACTGCCGAACGTATTTTGCTATAGAAATAGTGGGGGAATCATCTAAAGTCCGTTCGCCTATTACTGGAAAGCCAATACAGGTAGTTACATATATCAAATAGTGTGTTGTACAAGTATTTGAACTTAAAGAGTTTTGCACAGCTAAATATGATCAAGTGATCAAGAAACAAAAGTGAAATTCACTCATGAAAAAAGGAAATTCAGACTATTAACAGTAATTTCAAAATAAAATATGACCAACTGTTGTCTAAAACACAGTGTGAAAAGAAAATGCTTGATCTAAAATTGTCTCAACTCGAAACAAAGATACACGCAAAGAAAAATGAACTTGAACTTCAAATTAATGTACTCAACAGCAAGTATGAGGTAGAAGCTTCATCTCATTTAGAAACAACAATAAAAGATAATGAGCTCTATGCTGACCTTGATTCTATGAACTTGAAAATTTCAGCACAGAATCAAGATATCACTTCTCTTGTTGAAAATATCAAGATGCGTAAAACAGACATGGGACAAAATATGACGAAATTTTAAAAATGCATGCTTCATTGCAATCAGAAAACAACAGCTTAATGTAGGCTCCGCAAACTCATAGACAAAAGAAGCCACATGTTCTTTTGATTGGTACCTCAAATACAAAAAATATCGAATGTGAATAACTCTCCGAAAAATTCTCCACAAATAAAAAAAGAGCTTATAAACTGTTCAATGTATTAAAGATCAAAAGAGGAAACGGACATAGTGATATTACATTCATTGACAAATGAACTTAAAGAAAATACTCCAGAATACTGTATTGAACACATGCAATCCACTATTAACACTTGTAACAAAAAATGGCCTAGGGCTAAAAGAAAATATCTCCTCAGCACCCTAGGCTTGATGAATACAAAAACTAAAGTAGATTTAATGAATGCAATGATCAAATTTACGTTTGCAGATTCATCAGTCTTTATTTATGACAACAGTAATTTGTCACGCAGAGGTGTGACATGGGACAAATTCCTCAACATGACTGACAAATATCATCTGAGCCAAGCAGGAACTTCTCAGCTAGCTGCAAATTTCAAAGAGTATATTTGTGCATCTCTTGGTATCAAGTATTTTGTAAATAACTAAACGCAAAAAAATAGATAGAGTTTCAAAGCATGCATGTACTTTATTTTCAACTAGCCTTAGCAATTATATATAATCCTTTATATTTAAATTACATGTTTGATATATATTGAAAGAGCAACTTATACACTATATTGTTTTCATATGCAAATGAATTAGGGAGATGGTAATTTTCAGTATTTTTCATGTAATAACTACTATGCATAAATACCAAAATCAGTGTTTGTGTATGTATATGCTTAAATAGATGTTCAGGACAGGATATTTTTTAATTGTTTGCAAATTAATACAAATTAATTCCAAAATCACTTTATATTCCATATTGACTCCAATTTCAGTTTCTAAAAAGAAAAAAAAATCTACGGAGTCCTTGATTTTCGTTAAGTAGATTGACTGTTTTTTATTTATTTTGTTAGTGTCTAATAACAAAGGTATTGATATTCTCTCTTGGCAAATACTCATTATATACAACAGCATACAACATTGTTATCATTACTGCTCAATTTATAGCACAAAAGCATTGTAATTTTTTACTGCAAAATATCAGGGTTTTATTTCCATCTATAGAAAGGTTACATATTATATATCATCTACACATATTATATTTTTTTTCTTTTTAATTTGTTTGTTCATATAACATTATATATGGTACTTTACGCTTAATATAAGCAAGCAAAAATGGATGTCTGAAGCCTTAAGATGTGCTATTGGAACATAGGTGGATTAATTTCTAAAACTCTTAACAAAACATTGGACCCCTTTTTCTGAAAAAAAAAATATAAACATGACATTGTCTTATTGGCAGAAACATATGTACGTTATGGCGACCCCCTTAGCTTCGCCGGCTTTATTTACTTCTCTATTTTGCACAGACATTTTCAGAAACTAAAGGCATATTGAGGGATTAGCAATTTTTAATAAACATATACCAAAACCTACTTCCATAGATTTGTTCTCAAAAAAGTTTTTTCCAACTTCCCAAAGCTATTTGTAGATGTGTAGTTTATGATCCACAAACACAATCACCAATAACCAAAACTATTAGAAAATATATCATCGACCTTATATATGACTATGCATTCGAGTTCAACGAATTTGGGGACGTTATCATTTCTTGAGATTTTAATGCTAAGCATAAAGTTTGCATAGGCATATAAACTCAAGAGGTTAAAATCTATTACATATATGTACCAGCAAAATACCAAATGTGAGATCAAGTGGCGACACCTTTAGTAAATTGACTTGCCATACTACAAATGGGTCTAGCACGATGGGCTATACTATAGTATCATATTCATTAACGAATCAAACTTTACATTTTTAAGTTGAGATTGTCATTACTTCCTTATCTGATGCCCATCGTCTTTTGAAATGGTACATGACCAGCACTGTAAAGCATTGTGTTAACACTTAATATCAAACATATAAAACAAATTCCCAAACAGTTTATATGAGGATAAAACTTCGCGTGTAAATTTTTTAGATATCATATATAAACCAGAATTTATTGAAAAAAAAACAACTAATAAGTTTGTTAAGATAGATATTGTCAACTCTCAAGAAAGTACAGATGCAGCAAGTGATAGATTAGAGTCTATTATTTTAAACGCTGCTAAGTTATGTTTAAGATTACCATAGCATGGCAAAAAGACGGAAAAACACAAAATTTGGTAAGATTCTGATCTAAGGTCAATGAAGAATCAATTGTCAGAAAAGGGAGACAACTCTCACATAACACTTTTTATACTAACCTTAGAAACAGTTTGTTTCAGGCTATATAGGTTTATAATAAAACAAAGATATAGAAAAAGAAATCATATAAAAAAGACATTATCAAGAAATTGGAAAATTTACATAACAATAACCCGAAACAATATGGGATCTTTTGAACATTTTTTATAGACTTATGAGTTTGAATGTCCCTTCCTTATCGTTCGCCTCTACTTTAAAAGGAACTAATCCCTCAGTTGAACTAGATAAATTCTATGAACATTTTAAAAATTTAAACTTGAATGTAGGCTTAAAACTCTTCAAAAAGTATTGAGAACTTTGTGTAACTTTGTAAAATTAGCATGTGTTTTTCCAGCTGAAATGATAAACCAACATTGTTCAAAATATATTCTAGGTGTCCAAAAAAACAGGTCAAACTTTCATATCATGAGCAAACTATGTTTCTACCCTTTGGTTATGGATATTTTCAAAAATATCATTAAGTATTGGGCTCGAACAGAAAAGTATAAGAACTCATTATTGGAAAATGATTCTATAGAAAATAAAACGTTACATAATCCAGGAATTTACACTTGGTACACACATTTTCTACATTTTTCAAAGATTGTAAATATGGATATTTCAAAATCAATTTTTTTTTTTGAGATACAAGACCCACACTTCCAAAATTCTGTTCAAATTTTTACAAAAAGGTATAGACAGAAACAATACATAGGTTTATCATGGAAAATGGTAAACTACACATATATTTAAAATACAAACGTTCTTTTGAACAAGAGAAATATCTGGATTGTATCGAAGACTTCAAAATAAAAAAAATCTATACAAAGATCAGAATAGGTAAATAATCTTATCAAATATACCAGGCTTATAACTGTAAGTTATAGGTTGAAACTGGACGATATACAAAGCAATGTGTGCCTTATGAAGAAAGATTTATGTGACAGATATTTCTCTGATGATATTGAGGATAAAATGCATTTTCTTTTTCAATGTTTTCCTTTTTTCAATCAGCAGTGATTTTTTTCCTAGATTATGCTACTTAAGAATGTCTATCCTTTTCTAACTTGTCTTGTCTTAACAAATTTATGTGGTTAATGATTATGGAAGATATGAAATTACCCTAAAAATAACCAAATTTATTTTAGAAAACCTACCAATATAATAATATGATAATATTATCTATCTAATATTCCATGATACATATCATACAATACATTGTTTGCCTCGTTTTGTACGATTATTTGTGCACTACTAGTGTATCTTTTATAATTTGTTGTGCTATAATCATTGTGAACATTTTATTTTTTGAGAATATGCCACATGAGGGTACATGATTGGTCAATACAAATCTTGAATTTGATTCTTGACAATATGAAAATAAGAAGATGTGGTATGATTGCCAATGAGACAACTCTCCACAAGAGACCAGCCAACATAACACACTTTAGAAGAAGTTACATTGAATTGTTTATTACATTTATATTTTCGTTATTAGATTAGTTATGTACATTTTCAGGGAGCTCTATATCCGATTAGAAGCTATTATTTGTATCATTTTCTTATCTCTTTTTCCCCCTTATGGACCTTAAAATTCATTACGAATTGGTATTAATGATGATTTTCCCCACTCAAAAATAGATTACTGAAAATGTTTTTATGTACGTTTTGAGAAACCGAAACATCTTTACATATATCGTAAAAAAAGAAAGTTGAGTTTAATGTGATAAAGGATATGTCCAGTAACTCTGGTTATGGCAAGTTGTTCCGGTTATGACAAGTTATTCCGGTTATGACAAGTTATTCAAATAAATTAATTAAGTTCGGTCAATGCGTTTAAAGTATATTAAGATACATGAAAGCAAATATTCATGTTCAATGGAGAATGTTTAAGTAGTGCATTAAGTAAATGTATTCACCAAGTACAGTTATGTAGTTATTAATTATATCAGGTATTATGTAATTTGTGAAACCACATGAACAATAATTCATTATGCTGCTGAAAAGCCAACATCATACATGTAAAATATGCATCATTATAAAAATGTATTTATATTCATTTCCTTCTTACCGAGTTACCAACAAGACCCAGGTAACGCATATATATCAAACATTGATTTATTGTTGGTTGCGTAACGTCCAGTGACAGTTGTAAATATATCATGCATGCTCAGAACGAGAACAAATTATTAGTAAATACAATAGGTAGGCCTTGAAATAGAGGCCCTGGATGAAGGTCAGGGAAATTTGGACTGCCAAATGACAAATAACAACAAATGAGTCAAAAGCATTTTTAAACATATACATTGTATATACACAACATTGTTCACATTGTTTATATACAGGAATATTGGTTATGTTATAAAAGTTCCAGGAATATTGGTTATATTATAAATATTCCAGGGATAGTTATCATGGTTATTAGATAATTAAAGTTCTAGGAATATTTATTATATGATCAAATTTTTAGGAATATATACTACAATATCCAAATTATTTCTAGCTACAATTCATTAACTACAGTAATTAAGATGAAAAAAATAAAATGCAAGTTCCCTACTTAATCTGCTTTATATTGTCTACAATAAAAAATGCAGCAGAGAAACCAAAAAAAATCACATGACACTCTTTTTCTCAAAGGAACAAATATTATGATACCATATGATGTTTTAGTTCCAGGAAAATATCTTATAAAGATGGAAATAATATTATGTAATGTTTGTTCCCAAGAACTTTTATTATCCATAAAATTGAGAATGGAAATGGGGAATGTGTCAAAGAGACAACAACCCGACCATAGAACAGACAACAGCAGAAGGTCACCAACAGGTCTTCAATGCAGCGAGAAATTCCCGCACCCGGAGGCGTCCTTCAGCTTCCAGGGGGAACAAGTATTATGCGGAACAAATATATGTTCACACTTGTACATCCCACACAGCCAAACGAACGTCCCACTTTGGCAAGGGTTTTACTGCCGATCGAAAGAAAACCAAAATGACCATATTTCTATTACGTAGTCAACAAGAAGAAATATCAAACAGTCTGTAAAATAATTGACCACGTGCATCAAAGACCAGGGTGTTAGTTTTAAATTAATGAAAAAAAACATGATACATAAATTTTTGTATTAATTGGCACAACCTTTGGGAAGTGGATATATATGTGACCGTGTATGTGTAAATTTTGCCGCCCTTCCTCCTGTCCAAATTAATAAGACAAGCGGAAAAACAAAAAAAACAGCGCTTATATCGAGGATTGGCTGTTACACATTAATAGCACAAAAGTGATATGCAAAGCAAATCAGCATTTGAAAACCTAAATTAACAGTAAAACGAAGACAAATGTGATTGAAAAAGTATAAAAAATATATATATATATATTAAAATGTTTGATACAATTACATAGACCTCTTTTGACACACATCCCTCCCCTTTTCTTGTGTTTGAATTATAAGGTGAAGATATTCTTTTGTCGAAAGAAAAATGTCAGACTTCTTGAAGCAAGAAGAATTTGCTCTTACAATAACAACATATGCCTTGAACTTTACTAAATGCTCAAACAACATGCGTAACTTAACAAGTCGACACAAAGAGTAAAAGAAGTGTTAGACATCGTGATTTCATATCAGTAGGATAAGTACGTTGAGCCTAATACCAGTAACTGTGACCATTCTTTGAAACGGAACATATATTTTAAGTCTTAAGTGCAATTCCTGTACTAATCTCTATTTGAAGTTCTTTTTGTGTATAATTTGTAAGTCTACTGAACGAAATTAAAAAGGGAGATGGTTGATCTTTTATAGTTTCTATTTAATTTCATAAAGACTTGGGACAATTCAAACTTTAACATATTGTATAGACATCTGTCTATTGTTGACGACTGTTTTTTCTTCCTGTACATGATTTTGGGGTTATTTTATTCGTTAAGATGCTGTCTTATTTACATATACACGCATTTCATAATATTCAATTTTTGCTAATAAAATTAAGAACCACTTTGATATTTGGAGTTAAAACTAAATATTTTGTTAGAATAATTTTCTAAATAGTCCCAAGGGACCTAACTATTGTTGTTAATGTTACTCATTGTTTTAAGTGCTGATAACATCTAATGTTTACGACAATGATATGCTAATGGTTTGTTTTACCCAAAAAACTTGATTGAAAAAAAAACGATGGTAAACTCATCAGTTTCTGTTCCAATAGTGGCAACAGCTGCATTGTTCAAGGTAAGTCGGTGATGTCATACACGAGGAGGAAGAGATACGGAAATGTGACCACGACAAGTGGAACATAATAGAGGCAGCAGTAGTTTACCGGTGTTCAGTGCTCTCAAGTCGATTTTACATAATCGTATGAAGAGAGAGAGAGAGAGCAAAGATGAGGGAAATGCATGAACCCAAAGCAGGTCAAGATTGTGTGCTTCGGCAGAGTAAGCGTTTCTTGCTATGCACACTTCACCTGCCAGCAAATGCAGACTCATAAAATATAATGATAGGCCTTAACAAACAATCGGTGATCTCGGATTAGTCGACAGTCTGGTGTCGTAAGATCTAACACTAAGAAAACATGTCTCATGTCTGTTGATACACAGACACATCGCATCGGGCAATCAATTTGCGAAAAATTACAATCCACCTAAGGTCAAAAACAAATGTGAACAACTGCAGGTCACCGTACGACCTTCAAAAATGACCAAAACTCTTAGCGTCTAGTCAGTTTCACAGATGATATCGGATATGTTCCTTATGTCGTAACTCAATACCCTTCCCTTTTCACGAATGTGACCTACCGAATTAGACTATTTACCGGATTTGAAATAACATAAGCAACACGACGGGTGCCACATGTGGAGCAGGATCTGCTTACCCTTCCGGAGCACCTGAGATCACCCCCAGTTTTTGGTGGGATTCGTGTTGCTTAGACTTTAGTTTTCTATGTTGTGTCATCTGTACTATTATTTGTCTGTTTGTCTTTTTATTTTGGCCATGACGTTGTCAGTTTGTTTTCGATCTATGAGTTTGAATGTCCCTCTGGTATCTTTCGTCCCTCTTTTATAAAATGTCCAGGGAAGAAAAATGTAAAACACTTCAAAAGAGAAAACAAACCGCTTGAACTATACTTATACAATAAACTAACAAGAATATGTCCATAGCACACCATGTCTAACACCATGTCTAACACCATGTCTAGCTCGCACTATTACATTTTGCTGTTCAATAAACCTAAAAAATCTGAGTCAAAATCTTAAGTTGGTATATCATATCTTAAATAGCTTTAAAAATCAAAATGAGCATGTGTACTAACGTTTAAGTTGATGTGATCACAACTTTATGATAAACTGCCTTGACCAAAAACTTTAACCTGATATGGAACGGACGGACGGACGGACAGAACGGAAAACTTTGCACCCTACTACTGTAACCGACGCATTGATTCAATTATGAATTACATCAACCAAGGACAACGACTGGATTACAATTTACTAACTTAGGACAGACACATAAAGACCAATTAGGTTGTCTTACCGTAAATATATGTCCACAGACCAATAAGCTTTGCTTCTTAGTTATAGATGAAACAAAATCTGTTAACGCAGGTCTGTTTCTGGGAAACCCAGACATCACTAATATCTGTGGACTAGAAAATGATTTCAAGAAATAGTAAACTAAAATAAAAATGTATTCAAGACTTTTCTGTAGTTTGTGAACAACAAATTACTGACATTTGATATTTATTGTCTATTGTTAATTATTTAATTGAAAGCTAAAAAACATTTTTCAACGCAAACATTTTAATATTTTTTTCAGATAATGCATTAAAATTCTTCTTTTATAGAGAAAAACTGTAAATTTTAAATCATTTTATAAACTTCATATTCTGACAAAAATATTAATAATGACTTACCGGAAGTTTTTCACATGGTCATCAACTTTGATTAAACGTAGAGCAGATGTCAGAGCACTGCTATACGCACGTGCCTGGGTCGATGACCCCCAATTTACAGCTACAAAATGGCATAAATAGACACATAAGTAGAAGAAATTCGATTGCCTTCAGTCATCTATTGACTAGATACTAATCGACATGAAAGAGCATAAGATTTATACACATAAGTGTAATGTCAAACGAAAAATTACTTTTTTATTTTTATTCTATCATCTTATTTATATTATTTATGTTACCAAAACAGCTTGAGTCAGTTTACTAGACCGCCACCACAACCATTCGCACGTTTTTTTCTGGTGATAGGTTATATAGTCTGGTAGATATTAAATAATTGTCTAGTATCAACTATCAAACTCTTCCAACTGAACAAATGCAGAAGTCAAGAATATCCATTATAAACTCTGCAACATGCATTCTTTGAAATAAAACAATATATATTCATAAAACGAGATATGGGGTATTAATCATTTGTACTTTACGTAATATATAGCATAAATACCTGGTTTAGTAGTGTGGACATATGTATATAGACCGCCCACAATCACAAATGTTACCAAAGATGCCCACCAGTTGATCATAAACATAATAGCAAAGCACAATAAACTTCCCAATAAACTTATCCATTTGTTGTAGTACCTGAACCCTGGTCGAAAACCTAAAAAATAAATGACATGATAACAAAGTACATTGATTTCTCGTCCGAGTTGTTATAAATCCAAATGTATCAAATATTGAAGAGTTATACACATAAAAAGAACCAAAAATTAAGTAAAATGTCCCACAGATAGTCTAAAGGATTTTTAACATTCAAATTGTTAATTGCCATGAAAATCTTTCAAAAAGACAGCTACCAGTCAAATTGCAAAGACAAAAATGACAGAAAATATATTACATTTAAATCGTTATAATAAGAAGTAAAATAACAAAAATACCGGACTCCAAGGAAAATTCAAAACGGAAAGTCCTTTATCAAATAGCAAAATCAAAAGCTCAAACACATCAAACGAATGGAAAACAACTGTCATATTCCTGACTTGGTACAGACATTCCCTTACGTAGGTATAGATACGTTTTATAGCTAGCTAAACCTCTCACTTGTATAAAAGATTATACTTGTTTCGTGAGATTGGCCATTAGTATCTTAAAATCATACATGCAAAATATAATCGCAGTTTACCGATGTTCAGTTAGTAGTATATGTAATATTCAAAATTTCAAGTGCGTCAAAAACTAGGAAGGAAAACAATGGAAATCACATGAAATTCAGATGGAATAAACATAAGTGAGTCGACAAGACAGACATCTCCTGTTGTGCATACAACAACTCACACGAATTCAAAGTCATGTTTACATATTGCATAGAAACAGTAAGACATATCAAGCTACAATAAAGAAAGTCGTCGTGCATCCAAATGCGCTGTACCTGTTTCAACGCGATGGTTTTTATGCATATGTCAGCATGTATTACAGTGTCGTTACATGTAATTTCATTTACATAATATTAAGATGTCATATGATTGCCGATGATATAAAACCAAATGTTTTGATATTTGGACACGACAATGAAGGTGGCGGTAGCTGTTGATGTTGTCGTCTAAATAAACAGATAAACAGGTGAAATTGCCCTTTTAGATTCCACTAATTATGCATAAAATTTGATTTAAATATTTGTGAGAGATCACCAAGTATTGTCACACCAGTAAACACTAACAGTATTTCATAAAAAAATATTTTTTTTAATATTTCACATAAAAAACATTCTCAATATGTCTAGCTTAATTCCAGATAAAACCTTGTACATTAATAACACTTACCTGGAGTATTCGCAATTGATGCATTAAAACAGGAGTAGTTTATCAGGGTATATGACATCAGAAAGAAGTTGGAAATAATTGGCGCTATTACGTCAAGGTCACCTAGAATATATGGCAAATTTTTTTTTAAATAAAGAAAGAAATTAAACTCAAAACAATTACTAGAATATTCAAAAATAAGCAAGAAAAGTTTCATTTTTATTAATATACCCACTATCAAATATTTTCATTCTACAAAAAAAGATCAAGCTTAAAATCAAGAAACACCAATTCGAAGGTAAACTAAAAAAATACCCTTTGTTTCACGAAAAAATCTTACGACGAAAATTACTTTTGAACAGTCCAATATGCTTAAAATCATTTTAGTCATATGATTTTTGTGAATCACAGGCCTGGTATTTCAAATTTCTGTTGTAACATTGAGCATATATTTTTTCCGTTCAAATTTATACCACAGAGGTCAACTTTGAAACAATTGAGACATACACAAATGAGCAGCAACTAAGAATTTTCTTAAGATTAAAATACATACAAGAATTATTGTATTTATATTCTTATTTATATTCAGCTTGCCAAAATTGTATGCAAATTTGCAAACCAAATATATAATATCGGCAGATAGCTCATTACTGTCTTAAATTTTAAATAAATTTAAAACAATACCTATACATGTAACAGCTACACAAATGATGAATGTTAATATGTATCCTCTAACTGGTTCATTACTTCTTCCTTTCCCTTCAGCAAAAATGTGAATATATGGAAACAGTTTGTCTTTTGCCAATGCCTGCAAAAATAATATACAACATAAAACCTTTATTACTACAAAACTATCTTTTCCCTGTTAAACTGAATTTTTTTTATCATATTAATACAAAACATAAGGAGATGGGGTATAAATGTTATTACGATCAAGCAAAGACCAACGGACGAGAATGTGAACAACTGTACTTCACAGAACGACCATCAACAAGGAGCAAAAGCCATGCAATGTAGTACATTTTATAATATTCTTAGATGACAAAATGTGAAACAATTCAAAAGAGCCTGACTTATACTAAAACTATAAACGAAAAAGAAAAAAATGGCAGACAGCAGCAAACGACAAACACTGGATTATAATATATTTTCTTGAGAAAAGCACTTACAAATGAATCGGGGATAAATATGTGTGGACTCTCAGCCCTCCCTCCACTATCGTGGAAGATTGGTGTAATATCACAAGATAATAACAAATGGTAAAAATCAGTTTGAGATGGGTTGACTCATCAGATAAGTACTAAGCAAAAGGTTAAAGACACAAAGTACCGATATAAAAGTACTCGCAATTATAGACAGCTAGCTCAAACCCAAATTTCAACTAATAAATAGATCACGTTTTCCAAGACTAAAAGCATGTTTCAATTATAAAAAGGACATTCAGATTTAGAATTTCAATACTTCTTCCTTCTCAGGAAACAACATGACATACTTTTATTGGCTCACAATTTTTAATATGCTTTTTAAAGTATGTGCCGTTAAAGTAAAAATAAGTTTTATTGAGTATACACTCACCTGAAATACTTTCGGTGCCCCTATCATACTGGCTAAAGCTGACGAAAGCGTAGCTGAGAATATACCAGCAAGAATAATAGGCCGAAAGGCAGACGCAACTCCAACTGCCTGAAATATGAAACTATAAAAATTATTTGAAAATATGGTGTTTTTTCCTACCTGTAAACATGAGCCTTCTCCTTTTTCAAGTATGATATTGTTTTTGTAAGCTTGATAGTCATTTCTAATATTAATGAGAAGATACCTTAATGAGACAATTTTGGCTGTGTCTGTTCATTTAAATGTAAACACTTTGGATATCTAAAACAAATATGGTCTCCAAAACATTCCACTGTATGTATCTGACATACTAATGTATTTGTGAACATCTGAAGGAACAAACAGTACCATCACCAAAAATAAAACGACAAAAAGATTAACAACAGTATACAAAACACTGCACAGATAACTAAAGATAAAGCACACGTTCCCCAACGTGAACCGTGGTTGAACTCAAGTTCTCCTAAAGGTTGAATTGATACTGCATCACAAGTTGCATCCGTCGTGTTGCTAATGTCTTGTAAAATAGAAATCCGGGTAAAGAAGTCGCCGTCGGAAATGTCACAATCGACAAAAGAGAACGGGAGAGTGACTATTAGTTGAACATATCCATGGTCATCTATGACTTACATATTTCTTAACGGTCAACCATATTGATAGAATGATGTTGTGTTTAGAATTAACTATAAAAAATCATAGCCAAGGTTGAAGACATAGTCCCGGTTATATATTTGGCATAGTCAATACTAAACACAAAATTATTCTTATCATTATATTGCCAGTCAATGTTAAGACAAGTATATAAAATAATCTGAAAATACCCATTATTTGTACTATAGTATAACCCGTAGAAAAAGTCTTCAATTCTTAAATTATTGTCGTTCTATGCTGTATATCATATTTATTTATCTTTCATTGTTTTGTACATAAATCAGGCCGTACTTATCTAGCTTGAATTGTATCAAATTGTCATTTCTATCTTATTATTTTTCTATTCATACGATATTTTTATATTTATACGACATTTGTATTACATGAAAAAGACGTGGTTAAATATGTACTTCCGATTGTCCTTCAAGTGGTGTTTTGAGGATCGGACAACTATTGCGCTAGCCTCGCCATCACACTTTAACATATTATTGATTGGCGTGTCGAAAGTGAACTATGTATTATAGATACAATGAATAAGTGTTGATTCTGTAATAGTTGAGGACGCGGTCACACCAACACCGCACTCGAGGCGAACACGCTACCACGAGACCTCAGAGGTGGTTAACGTGTACTTTAAATAACAACTGTACTGACTATCACACATAGGATCTTTTTTCCCGAAATGATATGTCATCACTTTATACCGAAATATAAAAATTGAATCATCAAAGAACATTCGTACTTTCAGATTATCGAGTAATCTATTTTCTAAAACAATAGTTCGTATAATTTCTTTACTATCTGGATTAAATGATGTAATTTACGTTTCATCTCATTTTACCTGAGAAGAATGGTTATGTGAGAAACGTTGGCTGTTGAATCAACTTGGGAAGAAAGGTTATGTCAATGAAACGTGCATGGATGTCAACTCGAGAATGGAATCAAGCTTGAGTTGATGAACCATCCTGAGTAGAATTGTTTTGTTAAACAAACGCGGGTTGGTGAATCAAACTGAGTACAAATGTTTTTTTGGTAATTTCAGTACGATACATATTGATGATTTTCAAAGTAATCAATTTATAAATGTAAAGTCATTGAATTTACTACACTTATTGAATTTCAAGAATATAAAAAAACAACCTCTTTTTCTCTTTTCTATTATATTTTTTTGGGGAAGACAAGTAACATTAAGTGCGTAGGTGAAATCGACAACTCTTATATAAATGTGGTAGAAAAATCTGTTAACATGTTATTAATATAAATATAAAAATATATGTTATCTTACCCCTTTGTCATTCAGAAGACCATACTGACATGTTCCATTAACTACTGAACAATCTGACACGATAGATATATTGGACAATACATGAGCAATACTGTTATTTGACTGATAAGCCATTTTAGCTGCAACTACAGGTCCGATGGCATCACGGAGAATACAACTTCCAGCAGTCCATACAATCAAGATATAAACAATTCCTGTTATAACAATGGCCAACAAGGTTCCTTTTGGTATAGCTTTCTGTGCATCCTACAAATGCAAATGTCAAAAATGTATGTATTAAATAGATATAAGAAGATGTGGTATGAGTGCCAATGAGACAACTCTCCATCCAAGTCACAATTTGTAAAAGTAAACCATTATAGGTCAAAGTACGGCCTTCAACACGGAGCCTTGGTTCACACCGAACAGCAAGCTATAAAGGGCCCCAAAAATGACTAGTGTAAAACCATTCAAACAGGAAAACCAACGGTCTAATCTATATAAAAAACGAGAAACGAGAAACGCTTATGAACCACATCAACAAATGACAACCACTGAACATCAGGTTCCTGACTTAGGATTAAAAGCTATCATATCTTTAAATCAGACTTTAATTTTAGACAAGATTTTCTGCTTTTCTTGAACAAAGCGTCTTTCTGTTATTTTCAACCATATTGTTTTGTTTTATGATTTATATTTTTTTTAATTTTATTTCTTTATTTATTATTTGATTCTAATGTACCAAAAATGTCAAATAGAAAGAGTTCAGTTATGGCTATTTAAAAATTTACTAAAAAAAAATGTCAAGACATTTCTAACCATTTCAGTATGCGTAGTCTGACTGTAAATTGACTAAAATCGAATTTTCTTATACGTACGTTAGAAATTAAAGATAAGTTAGGAGTCTTTTATAGTGCTATGCATAAATAGTTTCAATTAATTCACCAGTGCAGTTCTGTACTTACTTTTAAATCGCCTGAAATGTTAGCTCCTGCCAAAATACCTGTTGCTGCAGGAAAAAATATCGCAAAGACCGAGAAAAAACTCTCGCCCTGTCTAAAGTCAGGACCAAGGTTTTCCATCATGACTGTACCTGAAAATAGAGATTTTATGGTAAAAAAAATTCAAACTTTATTACTCAAACTGAAAAATAATTGACAGTTAAATTAAAATTAGATATATTTTTGTCTAATGCAAGCAAAATGTAACTCCGTTATGACAAACTTGAATAAATGATAATGTCTTACCTTTGTACCCGACAACACCTTTTGATATTTTCTCGTCGCTTGGAGGAATAAAGGTTCCGACGACGAAAGTGATAACAGCGGTCACCAAAATAGCTAAGAGTCCCAGCTGTGCCTGAAAATAACATTGGTCATTTCAATTTTAACGCATTCTGAAAATCAAATATAGTTCTTTTATGAAACATTTTATTTCACAATTTTGAATATTCTGACGATTTTCATCAAGGAAGTTCCAAGTAGGACAAATTGCGATTTAAATATTTTTGGGGAAAAGAAATGTTCGAAATGGTGTATAATTTATATTTGCTAATATATCGATATAAAGATACACATAGCTAGATCATAGTAAGTCGGAATCATAATAACACAATGCTATTGTTATTAAAGCTTAATTCTAACCTTTGCTTCCCACTCCATTCCAACCACAACAATTCCAACCAACAACACAGCTGTAATACCACCAATGATCCGTACTTCATGTAAACTATCTCCAGTAATCACAGCATCATTTTCCTTCAAAATCAAGAGGCAATTATCAAAGAATTTGACGTCATTTCAGTTTGCCTTTTCGACTGACATTGTAGTTTAATTAAATTAGTGTTATCCTTATTTTTATTTCATTTCTATTCTTGTCTTTATATTTATTATTCCTTTTTCTGGTGTTGTTAATACAGCTATCAAATTTGACATTGCTATTTTTAATTTTTGATTAGCCAAATAAGAACATTATGAAAAGTTAAAGAGATATGACATTATTGTTATGAGTTGCCAGAAAAGACCTACGGACGAAACATTTAAGATAAACGTGTCACCATATTGTCGTCAGTTAGCAATGAGTACATCAAGAATTTAGCAGGGTGCATTAACAACCCCCCCCCCCCCTTGCCTTTAACCCAGGAATTTGTTTTAAAAGCAAAACAATGCAACACATTGTGAAAAATAAATTGATAATTTCTTCGAAACTAAGGTCAATGTCTAAAGAAATACCATTAAGGAAGAAGTACTGGTCTGAGAGCACCTACTAGTTCAATACCCAAGTTCAATTAACACTCATATCACGTTTTCCTAAACAAAGATATCAGATAATTATACACCTCCGAATGAATTCTTTTCAAACATACCCACATTATGTCTCGGACTGTTTCAGCAAACCCTACAATATACATTGCCGCTGCAATTGCATTTGCTAATGAAAATACAATTCCTATAGAGCCACCAAACTCTGGTCCAAGACTTCTAGATATCATATAATATGCACCACCTACAATAAATATTTATATATTTCAGACAATAAAGAAATATTATTCAACAGCCTTGTAACGTATCAACTTTTTCTCCAAAAAAATGTCGACGATATCGTTAGATGCTTACAATTATCGTAAAGTGATGAAAGACGACACACAACATAAATGTAAAAAGGAAGTACACCAAAGGATTAACAGCACACTAATTTAAGACTGAATCTACCCAAAACCAGGTTTGAATCGGATGTGTAGACTGTTCCCGCTTCACATAATTAAGAATATACCAAAGGAAATATGAGTAAAGAAACCAATCACATGTAGCCCCGGGACATAATTTGTACACATCGAACTGCCAATTGTTTGTTGAAAAGACGGGTGTCACTAGTAGAGTAGGAAATGCCAACCATCCCGGAGCATTTGGATTCAGCTCCGTTTTTTTGTTCGGGAAATGTTGCTCAATCTTTTTTTTTCTAGGTAGTGTTTTACAATGTTATGGTTTGTGTGTCTTTTTTCTTTTGGAAATGGTTTTGGCTGTTTTTCTTCAACTTATGGTGCTTTATATCTTTGGGCAAGAATTTGAATTGTATTTTAATCTTTGAATAAATAATTCTTTATTCTATGCTATCGTGTGTCCGACATAGTTTATCGTACTGCTATCTTTATTTGGATCAATCTATCTTATTAAGTATCTGAATGCCCCACAAGAGCTCCACATTAGAAATAAGATATGTTTAATGGATAATATCATATGATAAAACCTTAGTAAATCTCCCATATTTTAGTTAATCTTTAGGGAGATTGCAAGTTTACACGGTTTATGCTTTTATTGATATGATGGACATGTTCAAGAAAAGGGTACTGATCTTCCAGTACAGCACGTTTAAGCGAAAATGTCAACAATATCTTTTTTTTTGTTCGGAGGTGTAATTAGCTGAAAATAACATTAAAATGGCTGTATGCACACTCTAAAAAGTCCAATAAAAAACGAAAAAACATGAGTAAATATCGATTGGTACATAAGCATCTTGCAGGAGACAGTTTTGTTATTATGGTAATATTTAAGTTCATTTCTTGTTGGTTTTTTTTTACCCTATACCCACAAAGGTAACATATCTACCTCCTTTGACTTCTCCATTTGTACATATAGCCGACATTGAGGTTGAGGTGATGATTGTTACGACCATAGAGAGAAGTATGATAACCGATGACAATATTGTCCCTGCTTGTCCTGTTATCCATGTCAGACGCAGGAATAACATAACACCAAATATATTTAGCAGACATCGCACCTGCAAAACAAAAATTAATTAATCACTCCCAGATTTTGGTTGGGTTCGTGTTGCTCAGTCTTTAGTTTTCTATGTTGTGCTTTGTGTACTGTTGTTTGTCTGTTGGTCTTTTTCATTTTTAGCCATGGCGTTGTCAGTTGGTTTTTTTTCGACTTATGAGTTTTAATGTCCCTTTGGTATCTTTCGCCTCTCTTTTAAGACTGTTCTATAATGATAACTGTTTTCTTTTTAAATTCTAGTAAACAGGGTAAGGCATGCATTGATTTTCTTATATTTACTTTTTTATAGTTACAGCAAAAAGGTTGTTATGAAAATTACTCCTTCAAAATTCACTATCAGAAAATTGCATTGAGATATTTCATTATTCTCTTAGTGACGTCATTTTGTGGTTTCGTAGTTATGTTGTCATATCTGTTTTCTGGGAAATGACTACAATTCATAATTAGAAATCTATACAAAAGGAATCAATAGGTCGGATTATTTTTTTCAAGTATATTTTAAAATATATTCGTTATCAAAGTATTCATTTATCTGATGATTTTTTTCTCTGAATTTATGTACCAAAACGCCTTGTATCCAACCAAACTTTACAGCAGTAGTTTCCTTCACTGGATTAATATCTTCTTCTTCAATATCTTTCAATTCTTCGTCAAATAATCCTTCCACTACTGTACATGGGGTTCTTGGTTGTGAAACCTAAAACGAATTCATGACTATTTTCATGTAGATATGGTGATCAATTTTCGATTAGATAATAGTTAGTTCTCTTACTCCTATTGCAGTTAATTCAAAATTCTGACCAAATTGCAATTTGTTTTATCAAACCAAACTGTCCAACTGACCAGAAACTGCTGTAGAAACCCACAGTCCTGCATATCGTGAAATTGCAAGGTGGTAAAATAAAGCATACTTACAACCCTAATAGATTTTAATTCCACTTCATTGGTATAAAGAAAAAGTTTATAAGAATTTCTATACATGCCTTTCTTATAATTGTCATTCGAAAGGTGATATGGACTTTCACGACTTGACTGTGGTTTTCTACAGCGGTTTGTTAGAATTTCTGACCAGTTGAACAATTTGGCTTGATAAAACAAATTGCAGTTTGGTCAGAATTTTGAATAAACTGCAATAGGTGGAGAGCACACTTACAGTCGACTCACAGTAATGTATTCAAACCTAAATTGTAAATATACAAGAGTAACGTGACTACTTGTATAATCAAAAAAATCAGACACTTCACTTTGTTTGTCTCACGATCACAATTAAGAAAAACGCGAAAGGTTGGGGTTATCATGTATTTCTCATTCTTTATATTTTTACTATGTATTGTATAATATATATTGTTTTTAAAATTATGTGAATACAATCTTTGTTCCTAATATTACTAATATATATGATCTGATTCATTGTTATTGCTCGGATTTCTTTCGTGTTTTCTGTTCTTTCTGCTATACATTATAATGTTCATTAATAATATAAAATCCGTGTTAAACTTAATTCCGTTTAACTTGCACCACCACACTCAGGCGGATATCTTGTTGAAATTAAATAAAAGAAATGGAGATCACTATTATGGAGGTTTAAACATTACCAAACTTTGCATATTCTAATTGTTCACATTTGTATGGTCATTAAACGCTTATTGCATTTTATAACCTCAAGATTTTTTTCTATTTTCTAAACTTATATAGTATGGCGATAATAGATATAATGCATGTTTATGAGAGAAAAAATAGATATGCTTGCTATAAAGATCGATCTGATAAAAGCAGTAAAGTTTGCATCATTACTCCATGGCAATATTATTTTGAGAAGAAAAAAAATCCTGCAAATGAAAAAACTCGTCACATGGTAAATCTGGTACACCTTTTACATTTGAACAGCGTGTTTTGATCTACAGCTGCTTTGTCCTTAATACCTATTAAAATGGAATTATTTCCTCTCGTGATCATTATATCTAAAGATTAATTAAATAGCTTTCGAAATTCACAGTTATAGAGATTTCAAATATATGGGTGAAGTTAAATATCACAGTAATTAGTCTTTCAGATAACAACGTGCAGCTGCTACTATAAATGAGGTCTACATTGGTCAATCATATTAACTTGACTTGCTTAAACTTGATTCATGTGTTGTTTTTACCTTGTGCAAAGTTGTAATTAATGTACTGTCTAGTTGATGAGTATTGCATAACCTGTCAGGGTTTTCTTATGTAATAAAATTATATGAGATTGTATTATTATTGTTTAAACTGAAGATTACACATCATATTTGTAAATTTCTTTTCTTTTCTACGACACATTATTATTGGCCTCAGTGAATATCATATCCCTGGGCTTGATAAATCATTGCATCAACCTCATCAAAAATCAATAATTGTATAGTAATAATGAAAGCATAAGAATATATTAAATGATGATAATTAGGTAGAACAAACATTTGTCTTTCAAAACAAAACTTTCAATAAGTGATCGTAATGATACAATTGAATAACACTACACATTTTAAGACCTTTTATGACACGCATCTATAGCAAATAAAGGTAACCATACGGCCTTCAACAATAAGCAAAACCAATATCGTTCAGCAAGCTATAAAAGGCCCCTAAATGATCAAATGTAAAACAATTTAAACAAGAAACCAACGGCCTGATTTATGTACAAAACAATAAACGAATAAAAATGACAGACAGTGACCGACGACAAAAGATACATTAGAGGTGTACTACCTGGTGTGTATATTTACTTACATCATCCTCGCGTAGTTCGTCCAAAGTTGCTCGTTGTTTGATATCAGGAATAATTGAGAGAACGTCACTGTAGTGATCGGCGTGGGGCAGTGTTTCACATGTGTCCTCTGTATAGTCTAGATAGCCACTGCTTCCATACAACGAGTTAGAAGTCACTGATATTTTATGGTGTGGATAAGGCGCACTGTAAAAAGGGTCTAAGGACGATTTTCGGCTTTTCGATATACACGGGTACATAGCAAAAGATTCCAAAGAGCTTTTTCTAGATGGTCCTTCCTCATAAAATACCCGTCCAAATCCTCTTCCGTACATCAGTCTTGGGTCTAATGAAATTTTTCTCGGAGCATGTAAAGCTTCCTTAATAGATTTTCCAGGTTTAGCCGATTCTGATACTCTTTGAGGCCTCGGTTTAGATATAAAACTAGATTCGCATATTGGGCTTTCTGTGTGTAATTCTGAATCTCCCCCTGACATTGGTATGGTGTCATGATTTTCATATACACCAGTTGATTGGTCTTTTATATCTTCTGTTTCCTTAGATTGGTATAAGCATTGTTCATTATCGTCTTCACATGATGACAATTTGTTGCTTGAATGTTGTAATGAAAAATCTTCGTTTATATTTTTATCCATTAGATTATCATTTTCCTTGATTTCACCAGACTGTTCACTTTCACTGTCCATGGTAGGCAATAGCAAATTTATCAACCACAATCAAGTTTGCTTTCTTAGAAACACATAAGGTATATATTTTTTTTTCTAACCCAGCTTCGTCATGAAAATTGCAATGCTTTGAAGAATTCGACAAAAACTTAAATTTGACGTCATTTTGGACGAAATATTATTAAATTGACAAATTACTTGACGTACAACTGTCAGCTGACAGTGCGTAATTATTATAGGTCTTTATGTCTCTTTTGACATCCTATTTTAACCAGTTTTATGAACAACATGTACTTTCGGTTTATATGTATATATATATATGTAAGATAATTAATATTACATACAGGTTGCCTTGAAGCAGGTCACAATCTACGTAATGATACGTTTTAAAAATTAATTTCGATGTTACGTAATTTCGACATCAGCGGTTTTAATCTTCTTGTAATCATTAAAATGATTTACGGATAGATGTCTCTCAGAAATATTCATAAAGCAAGAAAAGTGTACTTTGACAGTGTCATTAATTACGAATCATTCCTCTATTGTCATGTTATGTTTGAACTGCTGTAGAGGGGATGACAAACCCACAAAACAAGTATCCGTACTGCAACTACTATTTTGTCATTTCTTCAAGAACAAACCTGTCACAAGTCAGGGGCCTGTAGCTCAGTTGTTGTCGTGGGTTCATGTCTGTCATGTTTGGTGTGTATTTCGTAAATTGTTTTGTTATACATTAGGTCGTTGGTTTTCTCGTACGAATTGTTTCACATTTTTCATGTCGGGACCTTTAATAGTCGACTATACGATATGGGTTTTTCTCATTGTTGACGACCTTACGGTGGCCTATAATTGCTTATATCCACTTCATTTGAACTCTGGTTGATAGTTGTCTTATTGGCAATCATACCACATCTCCTTTATTTTTATATAGTATAAATCCTCTATCCCTTTGCCATTCACGTACGGTAAACACCCATGATTCGTATTGGAAATTATTTAGCTCTCAATAGATTTTTGAAACTTCTTTTTTCCCAAATCGGTATCATACGATATAAATACATATTTTTGTTTCTTCAAATAATTGTGAATTAAGTCTTGATAATTCATATACTAATAATACGTATACCACGCCTATTCCAAATAATATTTTAAACTGTTGAACTTCAATGTCCTAACATCTTGCCCGAAAGTTGTACCATTTTAATATATTGATTGATTTTTGGTTGCTTAACATCCAGTGACAAATATTTCATGCATGTTAAGGACGATCATTTGAATATACATAAACCAGGTAGCTACTTTATATCTGGTGATATTAACATTGTAAACAACCTTCTCAACGAAATGTGTTAGCCAAGGGGCCCAAATGCTGTGAGCCTAACTTATATATAAACGGGAAACACAATTTTAGAATTATAATGTCGATTTGCAAGACAATGTGGAAAACGTGGAAGAAAAAACACATGATATGCTTTCCCAGTGGGTTAAAGCTGTTAGCTTGTTGGTAGAACAAAAACAAAAACTTTACGGGTCTGTGAATACTCATTCGACATCTATCTTCTAGTCTTTAGTTAGACGGCCTAACAAATATATTGTTGTTCCCGCAGACAAAATCCCAACCAATATCGTTTTGAGTGTGAATCACGTTATTTATATTCGGTAAGGGGGTTAGGTATTGGCAATTCACTTGGTCACAAAACATATACTCTAACGACAATTAGTATTGAAGAAATCCTGGACAACCATTGGTTTGTTTATGTTCATTTAGGATTTCAACCAAAGATAAAAAAAAAAATAAACCTTCGTTCACTCTTTTCTACAACCCCCTTTCAAAAATTAATGACATCTATTCTATCACGACTAAAACTGGCTTCTGTGTTACTGTGAACAATACCTATTATAGTAGCGGCGTTTGGAATCAGATGAGGATACTAAAAAATCTAAATTTTGTCAGAGTGCATGCATACATCTTATACGTTCAGGTATTTCACATCCAATCTTTTATGGTAATATTCTTTACAAAGCACAAAAATGGCGACATTCACCTCAAAAGCTAACCAAACCATTAAACAGACATATTCGGAAGGGATTTAGTTACGATACTGTTGTCAAGTCATTAAGGATTGCATATTTTGGTATTAATATTGATTCGCTCATAGGGTACTTGCATCTGAAATAAACACATTTATTTTAAAACCAGTTGTTGGCATGATACGGCTTATTTTCTTCTCATATATTTTATGATGGTATGATACTAAACCCCTAATGGGAGGGATTGTACTTGATTGTCATATGACGAAGACATAATCTTTCAATCAGTTTAATTGAGGTCTGGAGCTGGCATTTCAGTAACTGCTAGTAGTCCTTTGTTAATTTATGTATCGTTGTCATTTTGCTTAGTTTCTTTTGTTACCTATTCTGATATCGGACTCGGACTTCTTTTAAACTGAGTTTTACTGTGCGTATCGCTGTGTGTTTCTTTATTCTACATTGGCTAGAGGTATAGGGGGAGGGTTGAGATCTCACAAAACATGTTTAACCCAGCCGCATTTTTGCGCCTGTCCAAAGTCAGGAGCCTCTGGCCTTTGTTAATCTTGTACGTTTTTTAATTTTAGTTCATTTATATGTTTTGGAGTTTAGTATGACGTCCATTTTCACTGAACAAGTACACATTTTTATTTAGGGGCCAGCTGAGGACCACCTCCGGGTGCGGGATTTTCTCGCTGTGTTGAAGACCCATTGGTGGCCTTCGGCTGTTATCTGCTCTTTGGCCGGGTTGTTGTCTCTTTGACTTATTCCCCATTTTCATTCTCAATTTTATACAATCTACTACGTGCAATGTATAAAAACTTCTCCATCTTTTGCGTATTCTCCTCTTCTTGGCGACTTTTTCATTTATTCGTATTAGATAGAGTTAAAGCAAAGCATTCTCAAGAAGAATAAAAAGAAGCTATAATTGTTCTCTAACTTCTGATATATGAATTATATAACAATTCAAAGTTTCATGTCTAGTTTATGTATCGCTCTTATTCTATTTAATTTGAAATAAAGGATACCCAGGCGTATTGATAGTGAAGGTCGGTTTGGAACTAAACTTTCAGGGAAAAGAATTACTTCGATTTATTCAATGTGAACTTTTGTGTCTTCTGTAGCAACATTCCTGCAGCACCCGTATATGTAGTATACATCTCCCAGTTAATACAGTATTCCAAGGCTTGCGTTTCCAAGCATGATTTCTAACATAACGAGTTGCTGGTTACAAGGAGACTACTTAACCTAGGGTTCTTCACAATAAAGTTAAAGTCATCTCTTTTGCTGGCGCCATCATGATTTAGTTTACTAATAGTTTGTGACGAATCACCGATTGTGACTTAACATCATAAAATTTTGTACTAGTCAAAATCGATCTTTTATTTTGTCAATCTAATTAAAATATAGATTGTATTTACTTTGTTTATTTAAGCGAGTAACGATGGGTCTGAATTTTAATCAGATTGTTATTTTTTTTTTACTGCTGTTTTTTTTTTTTTTTTTTTTTTCTTCTTAGTCTTTTTTTTTGTGGTATAGTCTGTCTTTCTTCGACTTATAGTTTTTGATTCTTATTTTTAACCGCAGCCTCTGAGGTTTTAGTGTAGTCGCCCTGAGTGAGGGAGATCATAACGTTTCCGTCCTAACATATGCCTCTATTGTTGTACGTTAACTTAGCAGTCATCAATATATATTATACTGGAGTGAAATAACCCAGTTAATCCTGCAATTTGATAGGTTACCTAAACAGGGGATATAAGTCCATAGGAAGGAAAACAAAGATAAAAACGACAATATGGGTTGAAATCAGGACACTCGAGTATAATATAATTGTTATTCGGGCTTCACAGGGGATATGGGCTCATATTCCCTTTCAGTGCCCTATATCTCATTTGACTTGTGGCTCAGGAGATATAAAAAAACAACGCAGACAGGGAATCCAGTGAAGATCCAGATTAATATATAATGTTTTCCAAAATTCTTCAGATTTGCCTCTCCTTATGGTTTAAAATTTCATGAACTTAAATTGTAGAGTACAGCATTTGCCAGTTGTTGATAATTCATGGTGTGAAGTTTTCCAGATGTCTTTTTTCTTCTTTAAGAAGTTATTTGTAAGCTTGTCTGGACAGCTCAAGATAATTCTGCCAGGGGCTCTTTTCACAAAAAATCTTACGATAAAAATTGATCGTAAGTTATACTGTAATATTCATGACTTGCGAGTTTTTTTTTCTCCTAAGATTTTTTGTGAAATGATTCGCTGCAGAACTGTAGTCGTGGAAGTAGTTGAAAGTCAATGTTACCAAAACTAAAATCATACCATTCAGAAATGCTAACCAAACAAATGGGATTGACCAGTAATGTAAATATGTTGGCAGAATTTGATCATATAATTGTAATCTGAAACATGCTGCTGATTAAATGTAAGATAAATCAAGTACTCTAAAATTAGTTGATATTGTAGTCCAACATGGAACCAATAGATATTAGCATGTTAGTCTCAAGTCAAACCCATGTCAACAGATGGATCCGAAATTCGGATTTGAGATTTTACAGATAAAGAATTAGATAAAGACAAAATTCCTTTATGAAAAGATACACAAACGATTAGACAAATATTTATTTTGGTGCTTATAAAATATTAACTACGAAGATTAACAATTCTTAGTTTTAAACCACATGCACTTGCCTCTGAAAAAAAAATACCTGGATATCCTTATAAAGGTAAATTGAGGTATTTTTTCAGAGACAAGAGCTTGTATTTTAAACCTAATTCAACTCTAAAATATTGTTAAGACTAAAACAACTTCAATCTACAAGATGATAAACTGAAGAGTATATGAAGTTGATATATAGCCTTTTTCAAGTGTGGTATAAATCATACATACAACCAAGGACGTATATTTAGTTATAAATCCTTGTTATTGTTTTGTTTGTTTGCGTGAACCCCTGAGGGTTCACGCATATTTATTAGTAAATTATAAATATAGTCTATGGAGGAATATTCGGAAGCTAAATTATTGTTCATTCAGAACACCTATTCATCTTATCTGTATTAGCTTCCTGCAATTAAGAGCACCTCCACACTGTAAATATACCTGACGCCTGACGCGTCCGGACGCGTTCAAAATTTGTACACCGAATGTTCAATATTTTAACGTCATATGTTCATGCGTAGAGACGTGTTCAAAGTTTTAACGTTTGTGTTAAAAATATTAACATGTGTGTTCAGACGCAGTGA